TAAAGGATAACATGTCAAGGGTTATAATAACAAGAAAAAAAGAAAAAGAAAGAAAAAGAAAAATTAATCACCAGGTTATTAAGTTCGACTTTTTTCTTCTTTCTCGCAGCGAGAGAACAAACACTGTGACAGACTACGTCTCAAGTAGTTGCTGAATATTTTGCTGAAGTCAAAAAGGCGGGTCACGTCAGTGTTGTTTGTCAAAAAGCACCGTCATGATCGGAGTATCTGAACCATATTTTCCTAGAAGACCATTGCTTGGCTCTTGCTTGGTATCTGATGAATGTTTTCTGCGACTTAATCACTCACTATCGATTTCCGATATCAATTGGCAGATTATGTGGATTGATATCCTTTTTTGATTTCTGTCAATTAACTATGCCTGGGTTACTGCGTAAGTGGTTGATGTGCATCCTCTTGTGAAAGCGAAGAAAAGGAGGAGGAAGACCTGAAGGTTAACCCTAAGGACTTTTTTGAAACCCTTATATGAGTAGCACAGTAGAACACGTGTTCTCAGGCCCGCGGATGCCATCAACAACAACATTTATTGACATTTCCATGAGTAGATGGCATTGCTAACTATATTGTTGCTATGTTTAATGATCTACTTTCACGTTTTTTGAAGGCCATCAAATATGATAAAGCCAGGAATGTGACAAAAAGTCTGCAAGATTAATTATCTTGGTGGCAGTTGACGATTTGACGTGCAGATAAGATACTGATACTTCTAGCAACAGCAAACAGAACAAGTGCTGGTCATTGTCTAGACTGATAAGCCTCATTGTTCCGGTCTTAACCTCAGAAAATTCTTGCATTTTGTCAGTATTAATTCAGCCACTCAGCTAGGCAAGTAGATAAACCGTCAGTAATATGTATCCTGCCACATACTGAGAAAAGGCACACGCTGGGCCGAATTTTCGGACTGTTTCAAGCTCTTTCCAGACCACCTAGAAGAAACAATCAACAGGCTAAACTGCCCAAATGATTTACTCATAGACGACAATCTTAATAGTAAATCAAACAGCGAACAAAAAAAGAGATCGGTATATTTGTCATCTTTTCAGTGAGGATCTCTTTTGCAGGTGTTTAGTCGCCAAACCTCCTTTCCTACATGTCACGCATCTGGCATACACGCAGACGTGTTTGTTCTTGTGAGAATAAAAAAATCGAATTCTTTTATTGCTTTCTTTGTCTTTTCTATTTGTTGTTTTAATGATCAGGAATGTCACTTTCGACCCTCGTCATGTTCGTCACATTACCCTCTACCCTGGACTTCCACCCTCACCTCAACCCTCAACCAAAATACAAACATTACGAGAACCCTGAACAGTGTTCTGGGTTGTGGTGAACACCAGCAATGTTTTTGGCATGTAACACGAAAAAAGCCAATCTGCCGTGTGAAAACTACTGGTAACGCAAACGGCAAGTAACAAACTAGTTTGTTAGAAAATCAGGTCCCAGGATCCATTTCAATTTAGTGAGCTTGTTCGGTCTTATTCCTCTAGACGCTTCGTCTGCAGGATTGGACTTCGTATCCACGTACCTCCACTGCCTTGCCGCCGATTTATCTTGGATTTCTTCGACGTGATTGGCCACAAACACATGGAAATGTCTGACGCTGTTTGCTATGTAGCCAAGGACCACTCTGCTATCCGTCCAGAACACTTAGCCCGTTATCTCGATATCTAACTCTCTTTTTAACTGCTCGCTAATGCATACTGAAAGAACTGCTGACGTGAGCTCTGGTCTCGGGACAGTTACTGACTTTAAAGGGGTGACTAGGGCCTTTCCAATTACGAAGGAGCAGTGAATTTGGCTATCCTCACTTACCAGTCTTAGGTAACTGCACTGACCATAGCCTTTAAAACTTGCGTCCAAGAAGTGGTGGATCTCTGCCTTAGCGACCTTTCCAAAGTCCACAGGCTTATAACATCGTGGGGTTGCAAAGCTTTGCAACTCTTCTAGCTCTGACTTCAACTTTAACCATCTTGTCTGTATCTCATCAGGCACCGGGTCATCCCATCCACGGTTGTTACGATACAGCTCTTGCTGAATGGTTTTGCCTTCTAACAACTGGAGCAACAAAACCGAGCAGATCAAAAATGGAGCTGATGGTAGTGGATAATATTCCACGTCGTGTACACGGTCTGTCCTTGACGGAGATTGTGAACTTGAATGCATCTGACTATATCACCACTGAACTCCTATAGTGTGTTCCATGGGCAAGGCATCGCGACTAAAATCCAGATGCGTGATTCCTTCTGCTGTATCGGAGACTGGGATCTGCTCAATAACTTCCTTTCTGTTTGACGTGAACTTATGTAGGTTAAAGTCACCTTGTTTGCACATTTCTTTGATGTCCTAAACCAGTTCGACGGCTTCTTCAATTGATGCCACAGATTTTAAAGCATCATCTACATAAAAATTGCGGCGTAAGAATTCAGTGGCTGCGGAACCGATAGCTGCTTCATTATCATCAGCTGTAGTCTTTAGAGCGAAGTTGGAGTAACCTGGCGATGACTTCAAACAGGTGGACAGTCATTCTATAAACTTGGGCGTCCTTTGACGTATGGCCGTTCTGAAAAATCCATTTCAAACATCTTTCAGACCTAAAAGGGATTTATAACTTCTCTTATATGTCTGTGGACTACGAATCTTCTGTCAAGTTTTTCATTATCGATTTCACGAGTGACGATTCTATGACAGGTGGAAACATGGTCCTGGTTGTCCAGGAAAGAAGGACTTACTGGACCAATGATTCCCCATCCGAGTTTGGTTTTGTTCTGCATAGGAGGTATCTTGTCTTTTATCGTCTCTAAGTAAGACCGCTTGCTGGCGATTTCAGGAGTTGGTATTTGGTTTCTTCTGGCTGGGATCGCTTCTCTTGCGTAAGCCTTCGGAAGCTCTACTACTGCATCCTTGTCAAGTTTTTGGACTACCAGACCTTCGACTTCCTGTGCTGGTATACTATTCTCGCCATGCATGGTATCAAGCTTGAGGGACCCCTCAGTTCCCTTTAAACGTAGATCTCTTAGGAGTTAAACCACCAGGATTATCTCGAGAATAGATTTGCGTGACATTTGGTTTTGTTTCTATCGTTTCTGTCTGATATGTGGCACGTGCAGGCTGCAAATTAGTGGGCGCACTATTTTGCTCTTTGATGGCTGTGTCTGATTTTTTTTCGCGTTGGCACCAGAGGTTTCTTACCTAAATTTTCTCCCTTTTCTCAGAATTTTCCTGTGGTTGTAAAGGTGGTACTTTAGGAACAAAAGATGGCATGCTGGGGTCCAATTTACTTGAGGTGTTTTGTTTAATTTCCTCTTGTCACTCACTCTCAAGTGTTTCGTTAATCGCCTGCTCTTCCGCTTCGCCTATTGCGATATCTTTCAACAGTTCATTGCAATGCATTTCTCTGTCACGCTCAAAAAATTTGATCTCTGTCTTTAACCTTGCAGTTCTTGCCACGGCTTGCAATTTTATTGAGCGGCTGGAACTTGTTTTACCAGAAGCAATACTTGTCTCAGATCTTCTAGAATAGCCTGATTTTATAGAACTAGTTCGTACGGGTTTTGACCTCATTCATTCCAAAGCATGAATTTTTTCTACGAGCCTGGTTCTAGCTTCCATACACTCCCTGTCGCGTATGTCGAACCAATGATAGGACTCTTGTTTATCCTCTTCGTTATCAATTAATGCGACAAACGCATTTTGAGCTTCG